TTTTTTTTTTTTTTTTTTCCCTTTTTGTCTTTTTTACTGACTGGTAATGGGATCGCAACCCTCGGTGTCGCGCCCGTACCGGGGACCGGCAACGGGATCGCAACCCTCAGTGTTGCACCCGCACCATGCTCAGCCAGTGAGCGGGAACCGGTCTCCACATGGGATCCGAACCCTCGGCGGGAGTGCCGCCACACTCCCAAGCGGCGCACTCTCCAGTGCGCCACCGGGCCGGCCCTGCAATGAGTTTTTAAATACAACACCAAAGGCATGATCCATGAAAGAAATAACTGATAAGCTAGAATTCATTAAAATTAAAAACTTCTGCTCTGCAAAAGGCACTGTCAAGAGAATGAGCAGAGAAGACAAAGACTGCGTAAAAATATTTGCAAAAGACATATAAGTCCTTTGTAAAGGACTGTTATCCAAAATATACAAATAGCTCTTAAAACTCAACAGTAAGAAAACAACCCAACTTACAAATGGGCAAAAGACCTGAACACATACCTCAACAAGGAAGATATACAGATAGCAAATAAGCATATGAAAAGATGTTCCACATTGTATGTCATTGGAGAAATGTAAATTAAAATAACACTAAGATACCACTACAAACCTATGAGCATGACCAAAGTCCAGAACACTGACAACACCAGATGCTGGCAAGAAAAGGAACTCTCATTCATTACTGGTGGGAATGCAAAATGGTATAGCCACTTTGGAAGACAGTTTGGCATTTTCTTACAAAACCAAACCTATACTTACCATATAACACAGCAATCTCAACCCTTGGTATTTTACCCAAAGGAGTGGAAAACTTATGTCCACCTGCACATGGATGTTTATAGCAGCTTTATACATAATTGCCAAAAGTTAGAAGCAACCAAGCTTCCTTCAGAATGTGAGCAGATAAACTGTGGTACATCCAGACAATGGAACAGTACTCAACACTAACAAGAAATGATCTATCATGAAGGGAACTTAATTAACATGAAGGGAACTTAAATGCATATTACTAAGTGAAAGAAGCCAATCTGAAAAGACTACTTACTGTATGATTCCAATTATGTGACATTCTGGAAAAGGCAAAACTTTGGAGACAGTAAAAAGATCAGTGGTTTCCAGGAATTATGAGGGAGGGAGGAATGAAAATGCAGAGCACAGAGGATTTTTAGGGTAGTGAAAATTTTGTATGATACTACAATGGTGGATATGTGTCATTATACATTTGTCAAAACAGAGAACGAACACCAAGAGTGAACCCTAATGTAAACTGTGACTTTCAGTGATTATGATGTGTCAATATAGGTACACAAATGTGGTGTACACTGTAGTGGAGGATATGATAAGGGGAGAAGCTATGCTATGCACATGTTGGGGGAAGGTGTATGGGAAATCTCTGTACCTTCTGCTCTATTTTGCTGTGAACCTAAAACTTCTCTCTTAAAAAAAAAATCTACTAAACAGGAAACAACAAAAAACTCACCAAAAGACGATATAATGAATTTTATATTAATTTTTATTTAAGTATACATATCACATAAAAATATTATCTCATAATTTTAAAGCTATATAGTTACTTATATATAATTCTTCAGTCTAGTTTATCTATTATCACGAATCCTTTTGGTCCCTGAACCTGCCTTTGTTTCTTCTCCTAAGGCTTGATGCAGAATATAACTGCCTCTATTGGGTTGGGGAGAGGGCAAGAAATTAAGGATACTAGTGAGACCCAACCTTGGTTATCTTTGATGATGCTGTGAGGCATTCAGTATCATGAACCTGTTATTCAAACATAAATGAGAAAATAAGCTATATGAGTGATCTTCATGAGGTTTTTCACATAAAGTGTATTTCATTTCACCAGATTTAGCTAACAAGCTATAACTAAGGTACTTAACAACTTCTGAGTCCTCTGAGATATCATCAACATCCAGCTTCCAATATCCACTCTTTAAAATATTTCTCCATTGTGCTCCTAGATTTCAAAGTGCCAATATTTACAGTAGGTATGATTTTCTGGGGCTTTAGCCACTGGACAAAACGTTTCATTTCTAGGTAGCTGCTGTGTTCACTGTAAGGAATTCCTGCAAGACCAAAGAAAAAGATATTGTCTACTAAAGAAACAAATAATAAAAAAAATTTGTAAGCCCCAAATAAAATAAGATAAAAAAGAAAAGCAATCCAGAGTATTTTTGTCAAAAACCCCTTGGTGCTTTAGTTCTGATAAGAAAACTTGTTGATATCTTTAAGAAATAATAAAGATTAAAACATTAAAATGATACAAAACTTAGATTATAGAATTTTTCTATATAGATACTTAATAAGAGACATTTCTACTTATATTTCATATTTAATTACAATTTTCATCTTCTAAACAATTCTTTGCTCAGCTATGGATTTCAGGAAAATCTGGAAGATATATGAGTAAAATATGAAGAATAACAAGCAGAAGACTTGATTTCCAGAGAAAGTAAGTAGATTCCAGTCCCCAAGCTTTGCACACATAAAAAAATAAGAAAAAAGAAAAAAAATCAAATCCAAAAGCTCCCTTTATCTTCTTTATTGAATACTAAGTACCATAGGTAGTATAAGGAAGGGTCCTGTTCTGAATAAACGAGGGTCTGTAGAGGCTGAAAATAAGCCACTGGTCCAGTGACATACCAAACATGTTTCCATCGGCCATCACTCTGAGGGCAACAGTAATCCTCCTCTAAGAGATGAAACAAAGTCAAGTCTGTATCTCTGACTGTCACCACATCTAATCATCCATCATCTTCCTGCTCTCAATCTCACAGCATCATCTACACATGCAGATACAACCACAGTACCCCTCCCTTCAAGTAATTCTACAATCTCCTGTAAATATCACTGATCACACAAATGAAATGATCTGAATTAGTCAATGTCTATCTACTAGTCAAGTTTATAATGCGCTGGATGCAGGTTTAAAGTGGAAGATTTGAAAACTCTTGAACTGTTAAATCCTTTGGTGCATGTTTTTCTTAGATCTCAGTTTTAAAGCTCTTTTTAAAAATGCAAAGTAATTATAAACACTAAAAGTGAGAAAATTTGATAATTATACCATATATTGAAATGTTTCCTTTGGTCTGGGGAATAACATCTGCTATACTGGTTAACTTGTTAGAGTGTGTCCATCCTGTAGGTCGAAAAGCCAAAATCTGATCATATTTCCCACCATACTTCCTCAAATGACTCTGTAAACCCTGTTAAATAAAAATAGTACATTAATTTAATGGTCAGTAGAGATGAGTTACGTGGAATAGAATAGAATGACTAAAGATGTTACACTGGCATAGTCACAGGGAATTTTCACTTGTTAAGTATTAGCTTGCAACAACCAAGTGCCATGCTTCTAAAAAAATTATATCATTGAAAATATATACAAATTCTTTTCTCCTTTACTTATCTATAGTCAAACAAGCTTGAGTACAGTCTCAAGAAAAAGTATGAGGAGGCAACTTTAAACATAAGTAATAATGTATAAACAAATTACAAGTCAGATAGCTACCAAAAAATCCCCCCAAAACAAAAAAATTAATAATGAAATTTATTTCACTGCTGAATTGCTAACAAGCCCTTGATTTCTTTCTTTGTATCAAATAATAACCTTATATTCATTTGAAGTCAATAGAAGAATACCTACCATAAAAGTCATTTCTTTCTTTTTTTTTTTTTTTTTGTCTTTTGTCTTTTTCCGTGTCCGGCAACGGATCGCAACCCTCAGTGTTGCCCCCGCACCGGACCGGGGACCGGCAACGGGATCGCAACCCTCGGTGTTGCTCCCGCGCCTCGCTCAGCCAGTGAGCGGGAACCGGTCTGTATGTGGGATCCGAACCCTCGGGTGGGAGCGCCCGCGGGCCTTCCTGACGCTGGTT